CAAATAATCCCTTAGCCGTCTTCACCACCACTTGTAAAAACAAACGATATTTACAAAGCAGCAACTGTTGCACAATTCCGAGCGGCCATTGAATCCTCTCAGTAGAGCCTAATACGACAATAATTAGGTCCCTGGCATTCACATTCCTACTTGTGTCCAGCCATTTGTCTCGTTGCTGTAACAGGGAGATATATCCCCTTGACCAACGTTTCCAAAAAGTCTACTAAATAGTTGGCTTGTCTAGACCCTCCGAAGAATTTATCGCTAAGATAAGACAAACTAGCACTTGGCCAGTCGTTCTTCAATAATAGTAGCCTCGCGAATGTTAGCAGCTGGAGGTCTTCAAATTATCAACGGAGTGAAAATAGAGTCCCGATGTTTACGATAATTTCAGTTTCTGCCGGCTTTCATCAGTCAGTGGGGGCAAATGCTACAGTACCAACTGCATGAATATACACGGCACATGCCATCCCTATTGACGATGAAACCCAAATTAATAATTCCACAAAGTAACCGTCCAAATCTCCATACTACTAAAAGATCATATGTGGAGAAACCAACCAGTCCGAAATCAACGGCGACATATTAAAATTACCACTTATCCATGAAAAGCTCTCAGAAGGCCGAAAAATTTGGATCGAGAAAAACTGCCGCTATCCTTACAAAGGGTGATGACGCACTAGACCTAATACTCTGCCGCAATATGAGTCCCTCCTCAACTTCAGTGGGTCCTAGGTTTTCAGGTAGTGAACACAAAACAGTGTTTTACGCACTGACACTTCCACTGAATAGCATTACAGCTTATACCTCCACTTCACATTGAATGATGCATAGGAATTATAGTGAGCCAGACTGGGCTTCCGTAAAATCACTGCTAAGACCTACCGAGTGGGGAGAATACCTTATCACTTATGACCTCCCGAAATTTCAAAGAATCTTCAACCAGGACTCAAACACATGCTTAGATGCTGCCATCCCACTCTAAATACTAATACAAAAAAGCCACGTATAAAACCAAGAAATCCCACAAAACAGAAGAGACTCGACAAGTCACTTAAAAACATCACAACTTTGGCCTACTGTGGTCAAAACTTAATGCTCATAGCTCCATCTCACAGGCTCGAAGTTTGCGTATAAGTGACGAGGAACGCACCGCAATAACCAGCCCTTCTAGAGTGTTTGCCCGCAAAGAAATCCTACGGAAGCGATTGAATCGCAAAAACCACAGTATTTCTCCCCTCATAGACAAATGTGGGGTATGCATTGATTTTGGAGACATGCGTGAATTGTTCAGCAAAATATTTTCAGCTAACTACCTTAGGCCTACAATCTCGTTACTCGGTATACACCTGTCAGCCACGTCTCGTAAACCGTCAATACCCAGCTCTTGCTACGCTGGGCCTCACGCTTTTCCTCGAAGCTTCTCAGAAACGCTTAGTACGAACGGACGCAAAAACCAGAACCCAGTTTGGTGACTCGAGAATCATTTATTCTAACACCAACACATAATCAATGGTACAACTAAGGTCTATGAACAAATACTACAATAATAAATCACAATATTACTTCTGACGGTTGTCTCCTGACTTCTTTCTGAACAGCGACTGATGAGACGATTACTGGCTGATTGACACTTCCGTGAAAATTGGGGAAGTTGGTTTTGAGTAAACAACCATGAATTGATCATTCAATCTTCAACTACATTGACAACACCATACTGCTAATATAGCACAACTCCTATCTCTACCACACCAAAACAAATTAGCACAGTTGAATTCACTTATGATAACATTAGCCAAATTATTAGAACTCTCAAAAGCAGGGAATGTTTTTGCACTGACCGTGTATCCTCCTATTTTTATGAATATGGTGACCCTTATCCTCCTTTCTACTGCTTAAAATCCTCCTAACATCCTTAGATATCCAAACTCACCCGAATAAATGGAAAACAACATTCATTATGTCTAATCACAAATGTGACTCTAGGACAGAAGTCAAGAATTACAGGCCGATCGATATCATACCCAAAGCATCTAGAATTGTGGAGAGACTAGTTAAAGATAGCCTATCCAAGCATATGCTTACAGACAGACAACAACTAGTTCTTGTCAACTACTTTGACATTTCCAAGGCAGCTCACAAATGGTTATTAAGGAAGCATTCAATATAAATGAAACGAGCTTATTTTAGCTCCGTTAATAGCTCAGACGTGCATTTGTCATTCTATGTGTAAATGTATTTCTCTGATCCATCTCTTTGTATGTTCTGGATCAAGTAGGGGACTGGAAAGTCAAGCTGACGCTGTTTAACGTTGATGGCTCACATTTGTGTTCACCGTTTCTGTGACGCATTCTTCACTAGTTCCAAAATAGTCCCACCTATAGTACAGACACTCAGGCAGGGAAAGCCCCTAGGTTGCGAAGACGTTAAACCCTCTGTTTTGAAACAATTCACAGAAGCCATTTGCCATCCTCCATGCAGCTTGTTCTGGCACTCTACATTTTCAGAAACATTCCACAGTAGTTGAAGAAGAGAGACCATTTATCGCACTCTCGTGGGTGCTTATGAACAGACACTATGCAGCATTATTTTGGATAGCGTCAAAAGTATTGTGAAGCGTTGTGAACAGCCATATGAAAGCAATGACAAGGAAACACTCTCAAGGTTACACACTTGAAGCGTTTTACCGTAGGAAACCATATCGCGACAAAGCCGCTGGGCTCTAGTCCCTTGGAAATCCAATTTTTAACCCTGTGTTTGAATATACACAGATAAACTAATTGATCAATGACAGTGAAAAAGCCAAGTTTCCAAGGCTGACTTGAATGATCCCCCACCATTCGGGTCCAGGAAAATATATACCCCCTGGTTGGTAGATTTCCTTTCCCTCTCAGATGGGCATACATTGTGGGAATTTATTTGGAATTCCTTTGCAAAGTTGTCCTGAGATATTCTCTTGTCTTTTTTCGCCGACGAGTTGCATCTGCCCTTCAGCATTATTTATGCCTCAGTTATCCGGCCTCCGAAACAGTCACCACGAAACGGGGGTGAAGAAGGTCGCCGAGTGGGTAACCACCTTTACAAACTGTTGGCAATATGGGCATCAGATGAAATGAAAAGGCCTGTAGGGCGATTTAACAATACAATCGATAGTGATAAGAGATGCCAGAATAAAAATCCGATCTAATATGAAAATACTTAAACAGTATACTATAAAAATGAGTATAATCAATAATAAAAGTTAATGGTTACTTGAAAATGCAATTGCGGTCCACTATTACAAATCGTCAATATAATCCACAGATATGTTCCACTCCTGGAGTCGAGTCCACCGGCAGAAGTTGCCTAGCGACTGTTGAATAGTCCTCAAACGAGGGTGAGATGTTCCTGAGAATTCAAACGAATACAACATGAGTATTAGTGAAGCAAGTGGACAGTATGAGCCATTGAGGAGATGAAGTAACAGACAACACAACTACATTTCCAGTCGAACTTCAGATTTATATATTATCGGCCAGGAAATCTCTTAACGCAGAAGCTACGTACAATGTGTTCATTTTTGACATTTGGCAAGCACTGGGCAGGTTTATTATTTAGGACTTTACAGGCCGTGCTTTAATATAGAGAGGATTGAATAGAATCCTATGGTGTGCCCTTACAAAGTTGTAAGTTGAAAGGTAGAGTGGTTTTGTCTTTGTTTTCTACAGGGTTTGGGTCTGAACGTTTTCTGCTGGTAGATGGTAACTAGTCTGAGTATTATTTTTTCCGACAACCTCCTGTAGTGAGCCTGCAAAGTGTCTTCACTCATTTTCTCAGTCAGCGGACTCTAGTGATAGCATAGCAGATTATGGCTAGGCGTTCTCTCGGTAAATCCTTAATCCAATATAAAGGATGAAGTATTTTATGAGGGCTTAGATCTTTATCTTGAAAAAGATAATAATGAACGCCTAGATAGATTATGTTTCTGTCTTTAAACATATACCATTCCCTAAGCCTATTGTTGAGATGCGACCACGTGGGCTTTGCACAGACTTATGGGGTATCTTATAAATTAACTTGCTTTCCTTTATCGGATCTTTGAATACCACTTCACAATGTCTCATTCCATTCATTTTCTAACAACGTCCTTATTTGATCCTCAGTATATTCCGTTAAACCTAACATTTTATAGCTCTTTATGAATTTGATTCGACTTATTCTATTCCTATTCTCCGGAAGGTACGGTTGTGCACCAACTAGACAAGAGGGTATGAAATGAAATCAACCGGCTTGAAAATAATTGTATTAAAGCCAAAAGTGGACATCATGATAGTACGAAATATATTGGTCTTATTATACATTGCAAATGAACGTTGTCGGCCTAAGGATTAATTACTTCCCCATTCTGTTTTCTATATAAATGTGTTTATTAATGATACATTGCACTTAGTTATTTCATTACACTTTAATGATTCACCTTAGCACTTTAACTTTTCTAAAACAGCTTCCAATCCCTTGTAAAGATTGTATTTACCTCAATATTGGCTGGTTATTGTATGCCTACAACCACGGGTTGAAAACGGAACGAAGTCGATTTTCCCGCTCAACTTGGAGGACAACTGTACATTTCAATAACTATACGGCCTGGTCCAGACAATGAGTGTAATTATATATATGTATCAAGTATTTAACTGTTGAATCATTATTAACTTCTAGACAATTTAAGACTTTACATTATAACATACTTGATCGTGCCTGTAAAAATGGCATGCACTTTCATGTAAATTTATGTTTATATGAAAATAAAATTATTAATATTATAACTTGTGAAAACCACGGATTTGACTATTTGATCACTACCGACAAAGTTAAAACAACTAGCCTAGCAAAGTAGCTCTTATATCGGAAGATTGCACAAAAGTGGCTATAACATCAATCGAATTTGGATTATATTACAATTCGACTCAAATTTGTTTATCTGGTTCTAGTGTGAAGCGAGCCAATTTTGGTCTACTCCGAAGATGGCGTCGTCCTCAAGTGTTGAGGGCGTGCCCATCACTAAGGGAGGGGAAATTTTGGTAAAGGTTGAAGATCTGGCAGGAGGACTAATTTCTGTCAAGCTCGTTAACGGAGATAAAACATTTCGAGGAATTTTACTGCAGGAGTACGCCGGGTAGGGTTATTTGTTAGGTTTTCCCCAAATAGTTTGTCTTCTGCCCGAAACTAGCCCTAGTCACTTATCATATTTTATTTTACTCTTTCGAAACAATCCAATCTTAGTAGGGTAGACGGAGACACTGATTAGGTTAGTAGAGGTACTAGTTAATATATGTAAATTTCGATGGTTTTGTTAGACCGGGGAAAATCGTTGATCTTCCTTGTTTATAAGTAAATATTTCCCAGCGATAATCACCTTTACTAACTTTTCATTTAAGATCCTTGGCTCCTTAATTCTGCGAACACAGGGTTTTGAGAAACCAATTAGGGGAAAATAAACAGGTTTTAGACCATGATCAAGATGCACTAATGTTATCTTGACTCTTCGAGGAATTCTGCTATGCAGATGCACCAACATCTAACACTGGCGACATTTCTCAGCCTCAGTGACAAGCTCAACCCATTTTTTTACAACGTGCCTAACCACTCTGGACAGTTCAAATAGGGGGATCAAAGCATTACCAGACATGAGCAAAAATTGATATCATTGGTGAACTAGTTGCTCTTCCTTTCTTCTCATTCCTGAAAGTAAAATGTAGTTATGTGTGTTGAACATTCTTGGTAACTGTGCTTGCTTGCTTTCTGGATGATGTGCCCTTTTCAATCTCCCTTTTACGTACATATGTATTAGTCGACGCATTGTTTTTGTGGCTTATCTCTTGGTGCTCATGATGCACCATGTTCGTGCTTTAAATAAAATAAAATTCTATAACTCGCGCAGACGTGTAGATGCTCATGTACAATTATCAACTGGGGTGGTAACACCATTTTATTTTTGAGAAATACCCACTTTCACCATTGTTTAATCTATGGGTTAGTGACTCCTATTGGTTTCGATATCTCAGTGGTCGACGTGTCACCAGGGAACATTCACGTTGGTTTGGGCTATGCAAATGATATAGTCCTCTTGGACGAAGACATTCACAAGATGCAGTTTTCCAAATAGCTTGAATAAGATTCTAAACATATTTTGCATTCGGTTCGTTCTTATTAAATGCAATACGGCGATGCAGGGTTGATCTGCAGTGACATGTTTTTAGTTAGGTTTTTAAATAGTGGACTATTCCTACCGCTTCACCTATTCGAGTAGTGGCGTCAGCAATAATGAACCGGTCACGCATGCCCGGTTGTTACTCGTCAACTTCATATTTAGCGCCAGTGTAATACCTTGCTGTCTATCAAAAAACTGTACTGTGCAGTAATTCACCCTGTCATGTCACAACTGTGGGGCATGGTTATTGAGCTTAGAAGATACAGTGAAACCATGGGTGCTTTTGTTTGGTCTCGTATTCATAGAGCACCATGGTCAACACTAATGAAGTTAATAACAAAAGGCTAAATGAGGAAATAAATTTAATCAATGAATTTGTGAAGCTCTGTCGACTGAAATGACAAGAACACGTGTTACGCATGTCAAGTCACAGTCATCTTCGGCATACAGTGTTACTTGAAATAGGATTAAGTCGGGAAAGTTAGGGATGGTCAGACCAAAGCATGGTATTAATCCGTGAAGTCACTGGTTGTAACGTAGGTAAGTATAAATTGTCTTACTGGTCCTGAAGATGCTGAAAGGTGATTGTAAGGATAAAATTACTTGTGTGGGGGCAAGTACATTTACTTGCCTGGAAGTCTTGATCTAATTATTGTTTTTCCCATATCTTTGTCACACTGTAGGCTCCCTAAACTTTTTACAATACTGAAGGAATGCATCTTCAAATTCTAAGTTGATATGTCAGATGTCCACAAAGAGTGTCAACTTCCCATTGATATGCGGTGTAAATGAATATGTCGGTCGTTGCCTTGGCATTAGCTGTCATCAGGCTAGGAAATGTATCCATATCTGATAGGTCCCAATATGTAATCATCTGAACGAGTGTGAAAGACAATTATTGTCGTTTGATCAACATGAAACTCTGTAAATACTCCCAGTATACTTTTTTCATTGACATTTCCACTTGTTGAGTATTAAGATCATCGGTCTTAGCACCTGTGTTTGAGTGTTACTGACTTGATAGCTCTTGTAAAACTTATAATTTGCTTTTGAGTTTCAGTCAGTGGGTTTGTAGATGGGAACCACGAAAAGGCATTTACAAGTATTACTAGCTGTCCTTATACATAAGACTGCACAGATGACAGTTAATTGTAGTTCAATCTAGCACTCCGTTTTCTGCTCTAGAGCTGAATACTGTTCCATCAGTTGAAAATCTTACACCAGTAGGATGAATGTTGAAATAGTGGAGGTTTGTAGCTCAGAGCCTTGCACTTTAATTGCGAAGTTTCATTGTCCTTTATGACATCTTCTGCACCCTCAATGTGAAGTGAGTTCTCGGGATTCCTCATCAATGATGTGATAGCCTCTTTGGATGACTTTGTGCTGGGTTTTTTCCTGAAGTTTTCTATCCTTGTGTCATTTCGCATTGTTATCGATCGTTTTATTGGTCTGGGTTTTGATCATTTTGTCATGTAACTTGCTCTTTATTGGTAGATAAATTTGATCTATATCATTGCCTGTCGCGTTAAGGTAAATCTAAGTACCAGGCTTCTAGAAATCCCCTATTGGGTTTAATATTTCCCCTCTTGAAATTTTTTTTCGCATATTCCCAGTTAGACCAATGTCCATAGTTATCTACATGTATTTTGACGGCTAGTTTTTATTCCTGGGTTCGAAGTTGGAAGGGACTTCCACTTTGACTAGTATAGTATTTCCACAGTTAATGTAATCTGTTTCGTAGGTTGTGTTGATCGTGCCTTTGCTATCGCGTCTTAGTCTGCATCGTACCGGATGAAGTGATTGTGTTGGATTTGTTTGCGGCGTCTATTGTGAATGATTACATTACTCTAACTGTATTCCACAAATATTCTTCACATGTGGTAGGATGAGTTTTATTGTTTCTGTTCAAGTACAGACGTGTTTTGATGATGAGGGTGTCCACTTTTCTTGAAGATGGTTAGTAGATATTTCTCTTTTGCTTTCAAGATTGGGTTGCTGCAGCGTAGTTTCCAGTCTTCTGATGAAAGCTCCTGCAGTTAGTCATGATATGGTTGATCCCATCAGTGTTCTTTTTATATATTCGTATATTTGACCATTGAATTGAAAGTACTTTAAGACAGATTTATGAGCTCCATATAAAATGACAACTGCTTGAGGCACACGCGGTCTGTTTTTGTTTGTTCTTTATTGTTTGGTGTGTCTCAGTAGCATATTTATCACTCCTGCCCTGTGACACGGCAGCAGGAAGCGCGGTCGTTGTTAATCCGGGCCCCGGCCGATCCGGCAGGGTATTTTGTGATTTTTTTTATGTATCATAGTGTTGGATTGGGTAGCTGCCTTTTGTCTAACCTTTTATCCAAACAACCTTTCTGGCATGGTAGGACCTCAAGAGACATAAGTCTCAGTCAGTATAGCTTGATTAGGTCATTGCGGTGTTCAAGCCCGACCACCACGTCAAGGTGGCAGCTTTCGGTCGTGAACATTGCATTTTTATCTGTTGAGGGAGACTCATCGTTATATGGTAGCTGTTGCATGACTTTTTTATCAGCTTCTGTCCAGTTAATTGTATAAAGAAGTAAAGCCGATGGATACGATGATCTTACGGTATTCTATTTGAGAGTTTTTGAGTTATTTTTTCGAAATAGAGTCGGGGATTTAATTAAATCACCTTAAGATTTGGTGAGATGTTTAAGTTTTCTGGAGTGTTCTAAGGATAGATTATCCGATGGAGTTTATGATAGTGAAACGATTGATTGTAAGGGGATATATGGCCTGTTTAATTTGAGGCTACCGTAAAATTGAGGTGAAATAGGCTCGTTAATTTTCTTTCGCCACTGATATTGTTTTGTCATATGTCATAGTTTAATTAGTTGGCTAATAGCCGTTTTGTTTCTGTCCAAAGTTTAGACATACATTTTCGTCAGTCGCTGATATACGTTGTATTTAAGCGAAGCATCTTTCTTATGGTTGTCTCCACGATAACTGGTTTTTCTTTTGTCGGCTGGTAGGATAACTACGTTATTTCTATTCTTCAGTTCTCCGCCCTTGCTTGAGTGAATGTCGCTGTTCCGCTACAATCGCAATGTCAGTTTAGGTGAGATATGTCTTGTGTTTTTCAGGGATACAATACATATCCATTGCTTGGGATGCGATACTTCCGGTCACCAGTGTATGTCATACCCTTTGGCAGGGAGTTGGGACGATAAATGCCATACTGTTTGACTGGTAGTGTGGTTTCGGTGCACTAGGGATGTCTATTTGATTTACGTTGTCAGCAGTGGCAGCGGTACAAAATCATTTTATCAGTACAATTCAGCGTATTTTAACGAGGTAACGACCAATGAGAAAACATATGTTGAGTAAATGTGTTTTGTTTGGTTGGTGGAGACTTGTTTACTCCATGAAATTTATATTTTTGCTATATTTTTGATTACACTGTATTTTTGGTACAAATATGGAATTTTCACCATGGATATCGGTAGCCCAAATTTTGCAGGCCGACCATAGATATCAGGTGTGCGTCGGCAGAGAATCGAACCCCGGACCATGTCTATGGTCGGCGAGAGTCCTTACCACTGTGCCACCGACGCACAATGAAGTACTTACGTAGTAGAGAATACGGAACACATACAGTGTGTACTTGAGACCGCTCACTGACTGCTGTTTAAAAGCTATTTATGTTTTCAGTGCAATCTTTAATTTCCAGTCACCTCTGAATACTTCTGTCGCCTTCCATTTTTGATCTAAGATAGTCTTATGAAATTGTTACGTCGATAACTAGGCTCCTTTTAGTTTGGGATAATATTCTGAGCTATCTAAACGGTTTTTAAAGTCTCGATGTTTCAAACATCTTTCTTAATTAATCACCAGGGTCTCATCCTTCTCGCCTGTTTATTTTCACTGACATTTTTTTTTACAACAAGCATTCAATGAGCTTAAAAGCTTAACGAGTTTTACTCAGTGTG